AACAGGTAATTACAACAAGCATGAGGAAATTTAATGGTTTTATTAAAGAATGTGAACTGAAGGAAATACCTCTGCTGCAAGCCAGTTACACTTGGTTTGACCTTCAGGAAACTCCTTTGTGTTGGCAGGTTCTTATTTAACCTTGCCTGGGAGAATAGTTTGGAAAACTTGGTTGCTAGAGCGTTACCTAGGGTCACCTCCGATCACTGTCCTATCCAGATAGGTACTGAGTTTTTTCCTATAGGACCCAAACCTTTTAGATTTGAAAATATGTGGCTTACCCATCCACATTTTGTGAAAAAAGTGAAGGAGATGGGTTTTCTTGAGTTTTCCCACCGGGGTCACACTGTTTTGGTGCGACCCCAAATCCACAATTTTGGGATCTGGCATCCCATCTTTTCTCATCCCATCCCCCTCTTTCCCTCAAAACAAATATGAGAAAAGGGAATATTTTTGGAATATTCCCTTTTTCTCATCCTCATGCCAAAGGGTTTTCAGCATGGAGAAATACATGGCAAGGGGTTTGTCTCCCTGTTTTATACTAATCACCTAATTCCTTAGCTGATAGGCTCTGGCTTATGTTTCTGAGAATAGGTTTCAGTCACTCCATCCCAAATCTCCTTTGCAGTATTAGCCCTTAGAAAACTTTTGCCAATGTGAGGTAGCATAGAATTACACAGCCAAGACATCACCATGTTATTCTCCTGTACCCATCGAGAGGAATCTATATTTGGTTTCCTCTCCTCCCCAGTGATGTACCCTAATTTCCCACGGGCACCAATGGCCATCTTGGCTGATTGTGCCCATTCTAAATAATTTGTACTATCAAGTTTTATTGTAGTAATGATTCCAGACCCAAAAATATCACTACCACCTCCAACGCCCAGTCCCATGGTACCAGTTGATTTCAGCTCGATACTCCAACTCTCCATCTTGCTTCAAACAGTTCAACAGTCCGAAAGAAAAAGGTTGAGAGCCTCCAAGAACAATTTAAAACCACACACACAGGAACAAACCCTTATGGGAAAAGAAAACCCTAATAAGAGAGAATTCTCTCTCCTCCCACATCTCCCAACAGAGAAAGAGTGAATCGCCCACTCCAAAGGCCCAGAAAGGTCCAAAAAACTAACCGCCCCCTATAGAAAAATAAAAGAAATCCAACGATACCTGTGCACCCAAGATCAGATAAAAAACAAAGAGTCCAATTTTTCTAGGACTGTTCCCCGTACTCCAGTTCTTCCTGATTTTGATGCCAAAACGTAGATCACCTTCCCGATGACTAGATCTCACCAAAAAAATCCAAGAATTGGGCAATTTATAGCAGATCGATCAGCCCTTTGTTACTTCATGCAGTCGGCCGATTTAGGGCTTAATGAGAATGCTTCAAGAACCCTAGCCGAAGCTCTGATACCAAGTAGAAATCTGCTGAAATAAAAAATATGAAAGAAAAAGAGTGTTTTCTTGAAGAGAGAAGGAAGAGAGAAGAAGAAGAAGAGAAGAAGAGATCTTGAGAAGAAAGAGAGCATTAATCTGGCCGCCCCCTTCACTTATTATTTATATTAAAAATATAAGAGTACAAAGACTACTATGCCCTTATAGGGCAGCAAAACATAAAACAACATGTAAAGGACTCAAAAGACTAATAAAATTTGGACTCACATAACTGCTGTGGTCCCCACTTCCTATCTAACAACTAACATAATACAACTACTCTTTAAACAACACAAAGCTAACTAATCTTCAACAACTTGCACAAAATATAAAAGGGAAATGTCAAATCTAGGAAATATAAGATTTGCGGCAGGGATGTCTATTCTCTTAAACCCAAATAGCATTAAAAGCTCTCAATTCCAAAGCTTTCACAATGGCGGCCTCCCAAGTTCCTAGGTTTAGGGTTTGTAAATTAGTTTTGTGTAGATTAAATGATCACCCCTAATTTCAGCCCACCCTTCCCATGACCATTGATAATAGCTGGGACCAACATTGGTAATGACTTTAGTAGTGTTAGATGACAATGACATTTGATTTATTACTTTGCTATAGACATGGTATGGCATGCAAATTCTGTAGTATGGGTTACTTACGCAGAAGAGTTGTGCTAGGTTGGTGGCCTATTGCAGTCAAAATTTGGTTTTCTGGTTCACTTCTGTGAATTCACTTAATAAGCATTACATGTTATGGAAAGTTATTATTTGTGTACAGATAAGAAGAAATTAATGAGTTCTCTTGCCAAGGTAATTTTGTAGGGAAGTCAATGATTGCATTTTCCTCCAAAAACTTGAGCATATTCCTATTTGGACAGAGCAAGAGCCTATGCAAGTCCTATTTCATATGATATTAAAATAAGGAACTATTTAAGTTTCTGAAGGTCGATTTTTCGGGGTTTTAAATACCTTGACCAGGAGGGAAACATTGGCTTCCTGTACTTAATTTCTCTATAATACTGATCTTATGTTTTGTTTGTAATTTTGTTTTTCGATTTCCATATGTGATTGCTAGAATTGGCATTCATTTATAAGAATACTTTTTTTTGTTATTTTTTTTTTTCAGTCAAGGATGCTCTTACAACCAGAGCTTGTACTTGAAGATGTTAGTCAAGACCATGCCCACAAAACAGTAAGCTATTTCTGCCTAATGGTTTGACTTATTGCATGAGTCCCTTTAGCATTCTGATTGATGGTTCCTTTTCATGGAAAGTTTGTTTCTGAACTTGTTAAAATTTGGGCTTCTATGTGTAATCCATATAATCCACAACCCCTGTGTTTATTGAAAGGCACTCCCTTTAGTTTCTCTGTCTTGTATGTCTTATGTTTTGATTATATTTTGCTTTATTGGACATCCAAAATGGTAAAATAGTTAAGCATATGAACTCATAATAGGAAAGAGAAAGCAAGAAGCTTTCCTAGAAGTGGGAGGAGAGGAATGCCAGTTTGTGCAAAATTTGCTAAAGCTTAGGTTCAATCCAGTCTCTGCCTCCCAACACCCCAGATAGCAGGGACCATCATAGGATAATGACCCTTATGGGAGGTGAGGAATATAAATTTTTCTTGGGAAATGACTAGAACACTGTTGAGTTACTAAGAGTCACCTGTTCGCTGTGCATGGGGATGACTAGAACACTGTAGGTAGGGTTGTATTACAGTTGTAAACTGTCTGTATCCATTTATCCTAATTTAAATCCAATCTGATTTATGACCCAAATTCAATAATCGGAATATATCCATCTCAAGTCTCTTACGAGTTATTCATTTGTTTATTTGTATCCCTACCCAAAGAGTCACCTGTTGGCTATGCACTAAGGATGCGTTCAGAGACTAACTCATCGATGACATGATTAGGGAAGATACCCATGGCAAACTCATCTACATCGAAGGAAGATATACAGTCAAGAATGGTCTCAATGACTTCAAAGAGTAGTGTTGATGGGTATTCCCTAGGAAACTGATGGATAGCAGGAAGGAGAAAGTTCTATTAGTTAGCAATGGTTAACTAGTAGGGTGTGAGAAATACTTCAGATCTAATATAGGAGGGAATGGGAAATGGTAGGGTTTTTTGTCTTAATTCAGAATAAAATGGAGAAGCAAAGGTGAAGAAAGGTCATACCTTTAGAGAGATATAGATAGCAAAGACGGAGAAAGATCACACGTTACCTGTAGGTAGCTTGAAAACAAAGTTTTGATCAGTATTTTAAAAGGCATGGGAGGCGTATGCCTGGAGGTGGGCGTCCTGGTGAGGCACCCCCAAAATGCCCTGAGGCGTATGCTAGAGGCATTGATACCTGAGGTGTATGCCTCATATGCCTTTTTCATGAGGCATGCTAGAGGCGTATGCCTCATGTGCCTCACACACACCTCATGCAAAAAGACAGGAAAAAAAAAAAGAAAAAAAGAAAGAAAAAAGAAAAGAAGAAAGAGAAGAAAAAAAGTGAAAAGAATGAAAAGAAAAATGAGATGCTCCTTCCTCTTCTTCCTCATCCCCTTCCTCTCAAGGAGGCTTTATGCGCCTCCTTGTTTCCAGGAATCTTACACCTCTTACGTTCTGAACTGCACCTCACACCTCTAGGTATTGGAATGCCTTGCATCACACCCCTGCATTTTAAAACATTGGTTTTGGTTCCATTATTTCATTTATTGAAATTCAATGCTTTGGATCTTTTACAGACTCCTATTTAAACTCAAAAACTGGTAAGAAACGGTAAAATGGCCGTAACTCTCTTAAAATATGTTTGAGTTACAAGATATTGGTCTCATTGGATTGGTAGCTAAATAACCTATCTAATAACACCCAAGCATACAGACAAGTTTTGTCAGGCCAAAAGAAAGTGATGTTATTTCAATTTCAACTTTTCAAAACTGTAGTAAGACTCTTTGAAAAAAAAACCTCTAATATGACTTTTTGAACTAATTTGATCCTTTAGGGCAATTAGTCCTATGATCTTATCCATACAGTACTACTAAAGTCAAATTGTGAAATTGCCACTGGTAGGGTAAAACCCTTGGACCCTGGAGCCAGCCTGGGTGGGGATCAGTTCCAATAATTTGGAACCAGACCCTATAACAAATTGGGTTTGAGGTCGGTTCCATTTGGTTCCAGGAAGACCTACCCATTTTCTCACCCCTACTTGCCTTATTTAGTATGTGTTTTGTACAATATTTATTTTGGAAAACAAGAAAAATGGTTGAAAAACACTTTTTGATGTTTCTTGGCAGCTTGGTGTTATTAAACGTCATTAGGCATCACATAAGCTGAATATTGAAAAAATGTATTGGCGTTGGGAGAAACATTAAAAAGAGGCTTTTTCCAACAGATGGCTTTCACACAAATAGAAACAGGTTTATTTGATAAATGATTTAATCAAACAACACTTCAGGGGAAATGCCTATGTGACAAGCTAACACATAGGTGATTGTATTCTCTATCATATTTTTATTATCAACAAAGTTCTTTTCATCTTGTTAACAATCAAGAAAAAGTAAAAAAGAAAAAGAAATAGAGGAATTAGTGATTGGGCCGTACTTCCCTATATCTGATTTTATTTATTTTTGGTAACATATCTGGCTTCATTGAACTTGGTGCATCACTGATATGTCGTATCATCGTACTCTCAATTACTCGTTGATGTGAAATTAGTTTTAGTTGTATATCTGTTTGCGCTTATATGAATATTGGAATTACTAGTGAAAAAGGAGTTATAACTTGCATTTTATTGCACCATTTCTGGACAAACATGATATCTTTTTAATTCTTCATTTCTGGGACTGAGGTTATTCTAACTGAATGTGGCCCAAAATTTATGTATCAGTGTAATATTTTTTATTAAAAGAATTTTCACTGCAGGTGACCATTGAGGACCATCCTCATTTGCCAGGGAAGCATGCATCTGTACATCCATGTAGGCATGGTGCTGTGATGAAAAAGATCATTGATGTTCTAATGTCACGAGGAGTTGAACCACAAGTTGACAAGTAATTTTCTTTCTCTGCCACCTACTTCCAAAATTCAGAAACTGTTTTTGCCCACAGAATTTAGTTCTTCATGTTGTGATGCATGTGATTTAGATGTAATTTTTTTTATTTGTTGCATGACTTTGAATTTTCTTTCTGTTTTTTGAATTTCTATTTCTACTTTTATAGGTACTTGTTCTTGTTCTTGAAATTTGTGGCCTCTGTAATTCCTACTATTGAATATGATTATACAATGGACTTTGACATGGGTAGCTCCAGCAATTGATTTGAGGTAATGACATAAACCTATACAGGATCCTAATTTGTTCTTGGTCACTGCTTGATTTAGATATTCTAGATAGCATCTTCATTACTGGGGATTCTTGGTCCTTTTTGTCACAACCCTCTTATCTTTTATCATTAATTTCTGATTTGGGTAATTTTCTTTTTTCTGTTTTCTCTTTCTCTCTTGTTTCCTTTCTTGGGTCTCAAGTTGAAGTTGGAAGATAAGAAAGTTTGTCTTCCTCTTTGTAATTTTTATAGTGATAATTAATGAATTGTGTTATTGATAAAAAAAAAAAATTACAAATGTCTTACATATACCCACTTGTCTTACAATTACCCCTCCGGTCAAAACTCCACAAGTGACTCTTGATGACAGCTGCACAACGTCACAAGTAGGCCTAATATTTCACATATATGTTTTATCCTAATTCTCGAATACCAACTATGTCCCAATTTGTAGATTTCTAATTCTACCCCCACTCTTTCATGTTTAAAATATGATCAAAAGCCAAAAGAGTTTCAGCTTGTGTTTAGTCACTCTATATGATCTAAATGTCCTACATACGAGTAGGCTAAGGATGTAACCAGTGTTTAGAAAACTGGACTGGATTGGCCGGTTGGACTGGTTGAACCATGACCTGGGGCCCTGATTGGTTTGGTCACAGGACTCACCCCAATAACCGCATTTACTAAAAACCTGGTGAAAACCAGCTGACCAGTCGATTTAATCGAAAAATCAGTGAGCTGGTTCCGGTTTCATGAAACCGCTTGGGCCATTAAATACTCAAAATTTTAAAATGAGGTTAAGAAGACTTGAACCCATGACCTATTTTTGTATATTGCTTAATTACCACTAGTCCACCCCATTACTTGTGTTGTTTAGGCTCAGTTTGAAGTACAAATACATACAAAATAATACAAAATACAAAGTTTTGCGCTCTATGTATTTGTATTTATACTCCTTCCAAATGGAGCCTTAATGACTCTTTATTGTATATATTACTTTATTACACATATATGTTAAAGAAAATGTAAATTATGAGACTTAACCCTGGTCATTCTGAAGGAACTTTCCATCTATCCACCATATTTAAGTTTATATTAAAAATTGTAAAATATATTATATATAGTATTTATATAACCCGTAGTATATATACATATATGTCATGTCATCACAGTTTGACCTCCGGTTCAACCCTGGTTGAACCTCTAACCCATGAACCTCTCCCTTCTCTGGTTCTATGCTCGGTTTGGTATTCTGAACGTTGGATGTAACCATTATTCTGAAGTGTCAAAAACAATGTAGCAAAAAGGGCAATTTGGTTATTGAAAGGGTTTTGAGGGCAACACTCATATAGGCAAAGGTTAAAACTGTTATTATGAAAGCCTAAACATATCATTACCACATGCTAATTGACAAATGTACGATATCTGTAACTATTAGACTTTAATTAAGTGCAGGGTAATTTTAGAAACTTGGGGTGGGTTGTTATTATTGTTATTGTTGCTATTATTTTTATTAGAAACTTGGGGTGGGTTATTATTATTATTGTTGTTATTATTATGTTGGTTGTTTGTTTGAACCAGATGGAAGATGTGATGGTAGAGCCGTAGAGGAAGTGCTTATGCAGCTGCATCTCGTGTGGCCCTTCCAAATCAACCCCACACTCAAAACGTTCTTGTGCTTGTACATATGATCTCTACAAGATGATATATATAACTGAAATCCTTGTGGCATTGGTGACGATACAAACTCATTTAAAGCTGTTCAATCCCTGATTTCTTCTGTAACCACAGCATGCTGAATCCATTCAGTTTGTTCAGTGTGGAGTTGCTTAAATGAAATTAATTTAACGTAGGGTGTGTTTGGTTCATGGGAATAGGGGTCGGAATTGGAATGGTGCATTTTGATTCCAATGGAATCACAATCTGACTTCCATTCCTGGAAGAATAACATTCCCCCATTTGTGGGAATGGGAATGGTCCTTCCCTCTCCCTCCCATTGGAAATGAGAATCCATTCTAGTCGATTCTGATTTCAATTCCTGTCTGAACCAAACAGGTGGGGGAATAGATCATTCTGATTCTGATTCTGATTTCAACTGCAAACTAAACGGATCTTTGTTTCTTTGCACCATCATTCTCATCAAATAAAACAAGTTGTTTTATTGTGTCAAGGTTTCTGTGCCACAAGCCCTTTCCTGTAACTTTCTACTCAAAATGAATGGTCAATCTTGAGATAACTTTCTGTTGACCCTTCTGCAATGGTCCATCCATCAGAGCCTCTTAAGCTGGAGAATCAATTGTGGGATTCATGCAGTAGGATTTTGGATCTGCTCTCTACGATTAAGAAGGCTTCTCTTTTGTCCCTCGACAAACATGCAACGCTTAAAATGATTCAAGCGGGTGGATTCAGTTGCAGTTTGCTCATGGCACAGGCTCGTTCCAAGCAAGTCAGCAATTATCACCTATACACCTACATCAATATGATGGATTGAGAACACAACAAAAAGGAAGAGAAATGCGATGACCGGCCAGACGCTTGGAGGCTGTAATTCTGTTTTTTGCGCTACCTTACAGGAATACACCATGAAAATCGTTAGATCTACACATTCATTATGTAGATTTGCATAAAGATGGCAGATTGCATGAATTCCAGACCGCGAGCAGTGGTCTCTCACCGATGGTTGATAATGAACGAAAATAGCAATAAAAAAAAAGAGGAAGCATAAATGTTTTGGATCTGGTCTTACCTTGGCCGGAGATGGCATGAACTGTTGGTCAGAGATTCAACCGTTGACAGGGTATGGAGGCGGTGAGATGAAGAGGAGAGACCCAGAACTTTCAGCTCAATAATATTTTCCCATGTGTTTCTTTTCCTAGTTGGGTTGCATACTTGTACCATTTCAGTGCGACCCCACATACTTGAACTTGCATCCTACTCTTTGTCCAATCAAATCTCTTAACGGTCTTACCCACACTTACCACAGGACACTACAGCTGCACATCAGAAACATCTTTTCATGAATGGTAACATATAAATATCGTAAGATGTTTTCACTGTACAACTGTTAGTTCGTCTTTCTTGTTCCATCACACAATTCAGATGCAGGATGAATGAAATCTATGGAGAATATTCCCTATTTCTCATGCATCCCAGTCTTGGCAACCGCATGCACCCTTAATGTCATATTACTAATGGGACCAAACTAATGATGGTTTTGATTTTTCACCCACAATACGTGAATTGGAAATCTTTTCCCCTTGACATTGACCCGAACTGTACGATACAATTGCATTGGGAATTCTGAGGAGACTCAACTCAAATTACTTAAAAAAGAAGGTTTCTTGGGACCAAAGACGGAACACGTGGTAGTATGTCTGCCTTAACTTCTGTGCTCCATTAGCTTTTTGATAAATTACTAATTCAAGTAGGTAAGTGTTTCCCGGTAAATAGGCAGATAAATATATTTACTCATATTCTTTTATTTCTCAGGTAAACAAGACAATGACTATTTTAGCTTTAAATATCCATTATTAAAAAGGGTATTTTTGTCCCATTCAAATGTTGTCATTTGTCAACTTTCCCAAGTGAGTGATACTCAAGAAAATAAAATTTTCTTGGTCTCTAAATAAACCTGAGAAAAGAACATGGGTTTGTAAATGGGAACCAAAATCCTATTAACCAACTCTCCTCTTCTCAGAATCCAAAAAAAGAACGCCCCCACTAACATAAGAGTCATCCGTGGTGAAGCATTGAAGTTTGTAGTCATTTATAGTGGATGATAGCAAAGTGACACTATCTAAGGGAGATGGGTTGGGAATTGTATCGCCATTAGCATTTGCTAAAGGTGAAGCAGTATAAGGGCAATGAATCTTGGATGGACGATTGGGAAGTAATACTCAAATGTCCATTGTGATGTGATCAACCAGGTGAGAGCTTTGACCTGTTCTTGGGTAGTCGGGGGAAGAGCAAGATGAGCAAAAGCGTGGGAGACATTCATATTGGAGACGAGCATCAGAAGCAAGGCTTTTAAAAACGAACAGGAAATAGAACTGGACAGGAGACCGATTTACAGTTAAGTGGTTCAACCATCCGAATCAAACGGTTCGACCCGTGATGTCATAAATAAATTAAAATAAAAATATATTTATAAATAATAAAAAACAGAAAATTAAATAAAAACAGAAAAAATACAGTAAAATATAAAAAACAAAAAATAAAATTATCTAAATACAAAAATAACAAAGTATATAACAAACAGAAAATAATAAAATACAGAATTGTCCTCTCTATTCTCCCTTCTTCTTCACTACGATAAAGAGTAGAGCCGACAATCTCTGTTCTAAAGATGGAGAAAGTTAAAAAAAGAATAAAATAAATAAATTAATAAAATAAAAGCAAGAGTATGAGGGAGAATGAGCATGAGAACAAGAATCAGGTAAAACAAACAGAGAGATGGAAAGGGGAGGAGGAGCAACGACACTGTTCTCGCTGTTCGCAAAGTAGAGTAGATGTGCTCCTTCAAAAACAAAAGCAATAGTTTTGAGAGAACTTATGTAAAATTGCCGACCGTCACTGCTCCATATTGCTTTTTATTGCTGCTGATTACAAGAGGAAAGAAATCCGCCGCTGCAAAATCGCCGGTCGCTGTTTCTCTTGTTGCTGATTACAAGAAGAAGAAATCCACCACTGTTCCTTGTTGCTCACCGCCGTAGATGAAGCCCTTTTGAAGAAGGAAATCCGGATGATAGTTGTCGGTCGTTGTGATTCACCATTGGTCGACGTTAGTCGTGCTGCCGTAGGTCGTCGATCGACACCGGTCATGGCTGTCGTAGGTCGTCGGAGTATGAGAAGGAAGGCTGGAACTTGGAAGGGTTAGAAGTGAGAACGAAAATGAACTTTCGTTTTAACCCTAACTTGTAAGGGAAAATCGTGGGATATGAATGGATTTTTTTTTTTTAAATTAGATGAAAATAAATTTCGCCTACCTGCGAACCGTTGCCTGGGTTGAACGGTTTAGCAATTCGATCGCCCGGGTCAGCGGTTTTTTGACTTTTTCAATGGTTATTACTAAATAACGATTTACAATATAACCGAACTCAGGGGCTGAATGGTTACCAGTTTTTTTGGTCCCATCTGGTTTTGAAAACCATGATCATAAGTATGCCCATTTAGTAGGGTATATGGAATCACTTGTCCTAGAAGCTTGGGCTATATTTGATTTGAAGGAAAAAAGTAGGGAAAGGAAGGGAAATGTAGGAAACCTTAAACCTTGTACAGGTTTCCTTTCCTTTCCCTTTCTTTTCCTACTTTTTCCTTCAAACCAAACACAACCTTAGTGATATCGATTTACACTTTAATAAGAGCATAGTGGTTCCAATTCTACACTTCTTTTGCAAGAGGGTTCAAAAGGTTTACCAAACACAAATATAATGCATTTAATAGTAGAGGCTTTAAGATAAGAAATGGGTAAACCGAGAAGGTGAAAGAAAAAAATCAACATATTGTAGAGCATAATCATTTGGAGTGGTGTTCAGTTCTCCTTTTTGCAAAACTAGCATATCACTATCAAAGAGCCATGGTGTAAGTACATATTGTCCATCATGATTACGATTGCAATGGAGGTATTAAATTGGAACCACAGAAACACCCATGGTGGCATGCAAGCTGATGTGGATCTGCGGCGAGCCTGTAACTCATTACAAACTTGCGATGAGCTTGAAGTCATCGCAGTTCTACGACGAAAATACCATCAACCAAAATCACTTGTAGCAGGGCATCTAGTAGGACTGAGCAAGACATGTCAAACTAGTCTTGACGTCACCCGCACCATGTCAATATAGGAGACCTGCAAAGGGAAGTAACACATGTGTACTATGAGAATCCTTAGACGAAAAGAAATTTCGTCTTCGAAAGATCTCATGAAACATGTGACGAACTTCTAGCAGTGTCCCCTTGACAAGTAACACCGAATCGAAAATCCTCTTTCCAAATAGGAGTCAAATCCTTTTTCGCTCCTTCCCTTAAGGGCCTCGGGATATCCCTCTATAAAAGGGAGTGTATAGAACATAACAAACACACAATTTTGTCAACAGAGAATCGCAACCTACGTTTGTTATCCAAGACCCCTAGCCTTTCTTCGCCTACACTTAACCTTGCCGTAGCACTTACACATGGGTTTTGATCTGTGTCAAAAGTTGTGGGGAATTTCAAAAGATAGGAATTTGGGCCAAAGTGAAGTAAAGGGCATTCTGTAGTTTTCTAATATTGGAATTCATCTCTTCAAATCTTGCAATTCTAAATTAGTGGTGTCAATTGGACTGGATTTGGTCCAATCCAACCCAGTCCAATGTGAGTCCATTACAAATGGACTAGGTTCAATCCAATTCAATAAACATTTTGGACCAGTCAATTTAATGTCTGGACCGTCCAATCTGTTCAAGTTTGTTTTAATTTAGCTTAATTCTAACCCAAACCTGGTTCATTGGCACCTATATTGTTATCTTCTAACAATGGACAAGATATTAACTCAATCCAACCCAATCCAATATAAATTCATTATGGATGGACTAGGTTCAATCCAATCCAATAAATACTAATTTGGACTATTAATAAATTTTGAACTGACCCAATTTAATGTCTTGTGGGTCCGTCTAATCTGTTAAAATTGATTTTGGTATGGACGGGGTCCAATCCAAACTGATCCATTGACACTACTAATGATCAACTCGTAGAGTATCTTCTAAGGAGTAGCCTGGAAAGACCACGAAGTAAATCGTCATCTTCCATGGTGATTGACAACCAACAAAACTAGATACAGAAGGAGAGTGGACCAATAGCAGAGAGAAGTGTAAAACTGTGTGCGTATAGTATAGATTTATAGACAATTGAACCTTCGAATTTATGTTCTTGATGTATTTATAAGATTTATTTGGATTTTTGATTATTCATTGATGGTCCTTTAAAGGCGAATGCTATGGCATAAAAAAGAAGTTGTTTTTCATTACCTAATTAAAGTTTCTTTCTTTCTTTTTTCTTATCTTTAATTTACACCACAAGGTGGAACCTTACAAAGTGCACCTCACACTGACTTCACAGTCTCATCTCACTGTGTAAATGGTGAGATGTTCCCAATAAATGGTGCGAGATGGGACAGTGAAATTGGTGTGAGTTGCGTTCTGTGAGGAGCAGATCCCGATTCGAAAGGAAGGTTATGGATTGGAGTTCACATGCTGCCACCACATGTACTCTTTCATGAAGCCAAAATCATCAATCATCACTAACATTTAAATTTTGTCCCAACTATATGGATTAGCTACATGAATCTTGTTTCTTCATTCCATTTTATTTGTGCTATAGAGAGTTTTAATCATTTCTTCCTACTTCCATTCAACTCTCTTAAAGTCAAAATAAAAATTAAAAAAATATCTATTTTTGTTTTTAGATATTATTTTTTACCTTTTAAAATTTAGTAGTTGAAATAAGACTTAAATGATGATGATAAATAAAAAGATATATATCTATTTGGCTAGAGCCCATAACTGCAGTCTCCAACTCTATTATGTAAATTTATTAATTTAAACCAATAAACAATGGCCATAAAAATAAGCTAATATGTTTGGTTTGAAGGAAAAGATAGGCAAAGAAAGAAAAAAGAAAGAAAATATTTACAAACCTTATGTGAGTTTCTCTACCTTTTTCTTCCTTTCCTTCCCTTTTTTTTTTAAACCAAACACAACCTAAAAGAAAACAGGAACCACGTACAGTTCAAGCCTCTTTTTTGTAGTAATATAACTATGCAAATTTATTAATTTAGACTAATAAGCAAAGACCATAAAAAGAAAATAAAATTAAGAAAACAGAAAACTAGCCGGATACTGAAATTGCAAATCCATAATCTTTGGAGATTAACTGATTAAGGGGGAGAATAACCAAGCTGACCCACACAATCTCAAAAGTCTAATACTTCTTTTATCTGCATCACATCATCACTCTGCATCACTGTGATTCTGAGGCTGCAGATCCTCCTTCTCTTAGAACGCCGTTTCCGGCCACCGGAGTCCCATTTCGAGGAGAATGCACCTTACGATTGCATTTGTCCACTGAAGCGCTTAGATGGCCGGCAACCAGCCATTGCTTGACGTCGAAGATGGTCTTGCTGCAGTTTTTATGGGGGTCTGTCGACGTCACGTCCACATATTCGCAGTACCAGCTGTTTAACAGGGTGCCCCCGCTGACCGTGAGGTTCAGCTGGCAGAGAGGAAACGCAACGCAGGGAGCCCGGCTGCTGAAGACGTCAAGGTTCCCCCGCTGAAAGTAAGAGTGGCCGTGTTCCATGATCCCCCACTTCCGAAGATCCGGCACCCGCACCGATTTTCCCTTTGCGTTAGTCAGGGTCACGCCGATCTTGGCATTGGTTCCTATCGTGAGAAAGGTTCCCGTCTTCACGTACAGCGTGTATACGCACTTTTCCTGCATCTCAAAATCACCGCCAAATTAACGCGAAGATGAAAGAACGATCCGGCGGCGAACGACGTCAATGGAAATTAAGGTTAGAAATGAGACTGTGAATCACGGCGGTTGTGATCTTACCGACTTGAATAACCCCTGCGCGACGGACAGGTATAAGGCGAGGAAGGTCAGTGTGCAGAAGAGGCGATTGGTCATCTTTGTCCGTTGTTCTGGTGATCTCCGAACTGAAGAGAAGATAGTGTCTCGTCAACTCAGTCTGGGTGTTTCTTCTTGAGAGGGTGAACGGTGTATTTATAATGGCGGTGTGTGGATGGGGATGAGAGGGAGAGCCATTATAAATTACGAAATTACCCATATAACGACGAAGATTATCATGATATATCATGATAAATGATCCACACAGTGACGATACAAATGGCGCATCATGTGAAAACGCTTGTGTTTCGTTTCAATAAATACAATATTATTATAGTTTAAAAGTTAGATTATCATAATATATTAATAATCTATGTTTCAAATTTATCATTATAATTTAAATTTTACGAATAGTAACTTTTACATTACTCATATTATTAAATCAGTTAACTATCTCAATGGTAGAGTGAGATCATGAACTTTGTAATTATGGATAATTGGGTTTAAATTTTTATATCTTATTTTAGGGTTTATTTCAAGAAAAATTCAACTCCAAGGCTGATTCCATGAAGGCTGGTTTAAAACCGGCTTGAGTGGAGGTCGGTTTTAATTATTTGGGATCAGACCCTACATTATAATAAATTGGATAGGGTTGGTTCGAGGTCGGTTTCATTTGGTTTTGGGTAGAATCTATTTATCTGCTCACCCTATTATTTGGTCCCATTGCCTTATTTAATAAATGACATGAAAAATGATTGAAAATGCATTTTGATAAATGATTTAACCAAACAGTATTTCAAGGAAAATGCCTATATGATAAGCTAAAACCATATAAATGACACGAAACCGATCGACCACCACCATCCCAGTTGGAACTGATAGTGAAAATGTTCTTTATTTTACTGCATGAGTAAGAAAGGGTAATTGCATAAGTTTTGGTTTATTTTATATATATATATATATATATATATATTCTTTTTTGTGTTTATATGAATTATATAGCTTAGACTTTGAAATATGAATTGAAAATATATAATACATTTTCTTTATACAAGCTTCTTGTTTGTTTGTTTTACTTATGTTGATGCTTCAAACCACCTCACCTCTACAACAACCAACCGCCTTAGGCTCTAAGATGAGCCTTTTCAGAAAATGGAGTAAGGCCACAAATAGCAACCCGCATTTGTTACGATAGTGTCGTAAGCCCTGTGCTGAAACAATTAAATCAAAGCCTTTGATTTATTATCATGGGTCCACCTTAAATCAGATGAAGTGATCTCTTGATGAACCATTGCAGTACATGCCATGATTTTCTGTTTTAGACCCAGGCTAAGGCAGTGTCGTAGCAATAGTGAACTCCACAAATAAATGAATTAACAAATTAACAATTTGCACAGAACTTAAGAGATTTTCTAACTATTGAATTCGGATTAATTAATTATATTGAATTGTATTTGAGATTTTGAATTAGGGTAAATGGATAAAGACAGTTTATAATGGTTCCTGCCTTGTAGAGGTAGAAAGAAGATAAATTTGATTTTGCTAAAAAAAAAAAAAAATCTTTGTGTAGGTTGGAGGTAAAATGGGCTGATCTCCAATAATTCATCTTTGATGGCGAAAACCCCCCAGCGGAGGTACAAATGATGTATCGTTTTTTGTTCTTCTAGTTTAATCGAGTAAAGAGGAAAAGGGGCCCAAGGTCCTAATGACTAGTGAGGAGCAATTGAGTATTCATGAAGACAATTAGTAGACACATTCATACAGAACGGAGGAATTCATTTTCTTTGCTTAATTCAAGGAAAATTCTAGATTAGTACTTTTGGGCTTAGTGTCACTTTGATCTCCAAATTTTAAAATATGCCAATGCAGTATTCTAATTTTCAAAATGTATTAATCCGATATATATCGTTAATGAACTATCAGTTATGTGCATTATGTGATGATTAGACTTGTTTGTGGGCCGGGTAGCCCGATGGCCCGGCCCGGCCCACACCCCGATCGGGTTTGGTCATGTAATTAGGTCCGTGAGTGAACTCGGGCCTAATATAGTAAGTCCGATTGTGTTTTGGGCCGGACTCGGGATTTGTCAAAAAAGCCCAACTCGGTCTGACTCAGCATTATATATTTTATAAAATATATAATATGTATTTTATATATTATATACAATATATAAATAATATAATATTTATTAAAATATATATTTATAATTTAATATATACATTTTTTATTATTTTCTTTATAATTTCTCTCTCTCTATTCAACCGCTTCAGTAATAATATAGGCTAAATTTCGGGCTCGGGCCTTAAAAAAATCTGTTAATACAGAGTGAAAACCCAGCCTGGCCCGGCCCATGAACAGGTCTAATGACGATATATATAACTTAAATATTTTGAAAATAACAAAATTACCTTTCAAAACTCTGTTCATTATCTTCCTCCACGAGAATATAGGACACTGTTCTGTGTATCAATGTCGACACTGTTCATCATCAAGTGGTGGCACTGAACGTCTAAATCTGTCGTGCAAACTTCCCAAATTGATGTCAAACTTCGCCACCAATTCTGTCATCTGACAGTGAGGAATTTGGTCTAACTTCACCTGTTGATGGCAATTCTTTCTTGTCAAAGCCAAACAAGGAGCATTTACTAATTGAGGTCGAGCAGCGTCGGTCTTGGCGTGTGGCAGAGAATTGTGGTCAATTTCAGCACACAGAAGATGGAAATTTTTTCGGAGAAGTACGGTTTTGCCCAATGAAGATTTCTGATTCAGACTGTAAAACTATAAACATTCGAAAGGATCATAATCCACACTTATTGCACCAACGTTGACATCAATTCCGAGCGGCACCTCCAACAGTAATTTGAGCCTACTAACAAGGAGGAGGGAGAGCTGTTATTATAATTTTTTCAGCTGTGGACCTTTGATCTGACACGGTTACGAAACCAACTAAAGGCAAAGATTTTTTTGACGATGACGTTGAGATCGAGGTCATATCGATCGAGTGGTTCAGGATATTTCGGTTACTGTCAACGCTCTGAAGCAGAATTGTGGGGCTAACATGCCGCAAGAGATACTTAATCAGAAGATGCCTGGCCTCCTCGTTGCTTGTGCGATTGTGCTGGCATTTGCAGGAGTTTGGAGGAAAGTGACGAAGGAGATCGTGAAGACCTCCGAACTTTCCGGCAAGTCGACGTTTTTCATCTCACTGAAGTTGCTTCTCTTCTGCTGTATAAATAAAATCCATAGAATAGAATTTCCGTCATCTCATTTTTCTGTTTAAAAGGTTAACTTGAAAGTGTCTTTTTTGCATTTGTAATATCATTATTCTTTTCCTACATTTTCCGTGTAGTAGAATTAATGTCATGAACTGGTTAATAAAGAAAATTTGATTACACCTAAAGGGCATTTATATCTTTTTACACGTTTTCAAAATTAAAAAGTTAATAATTAAACATTTGATTTATGACTCCGGACCCAGCGAGTTTGAACTCGAAGGAATTATTTCTTTGAACCCACTTATTTTGTGAGACGTTGGTGGGGTTTAAATTTTTAGCCAACAATTCCTTTCCTTTGAAAAATAAAATATTGTAATTAATTATTTATTTATTTCTATGAAGAATCCAGCATCATACAAATCGTTCGAAACCCTTTCACCTCCATAAAATGAACATTTTCCCCACCGTTAAAACCCTTTTCCAATCATCAATGAACTTGATCTTGAGTGCTTCTTCGACCAAAACCCTAATAAAATATTTATCATCTCAATAAAAATGATGCAACCCATAACAAAGATAACTAAAACTCAATTACAGCTCAACAGCTTTGAGCAGGAAACCAGATGTTTTTTTCTTTGGCAAAAAAATAAATAAAATAGATTAACAAAGGAAAACAGGTTGACCTGAAGCGGAAGAATCAGAGATAAAAGAACAAGTTTAATATGGTGAACAACATGCTCACTGAGCCCTTCAATCAATGTATGAGAATCAAACGAACTAAGATCAGAATTAAGGATGTTGAAGCTCAATGGAATTCAACCAGCAAAGCCAACAGAAAATTCGAAAACATCTGGTTAAAACCTCTCTGGTGCGTTTGGAATGATTTATTGTTCATTATTGTGGTAGTTCTTATAAACCAGGATGACCTGCATAGATCCTATGTATAGAAGAAGTGATGAATACAAACTACAGCGTCTGAATATTATTATAAATTAAGACAGTTGTCACAAACTCTAGTGACGTGTCATGTCTGTTACGCTAAATTGTCCAAGTTGCATCGACAGTTGTCCAACTTGTGTCTATATATATATTGCTGTACAGAAATTATTTAATATGAATTCTTCATTATGATTTTTATTTTCATGGTATCAGAGCTTGACCAGGTCAGGGTGTTTTCGTGTCTCTCCCACAAATGTTCTCCATTAGACGTTCTTCATCTCCGACGTCGATGAACTGCAACATCTTTGTTCCTCCGCTCTGACGCTGCTAAACTCCAATGTCGCCTTTCTTGAACCATGTTTTCTTGAAGTCTGAAGCTCTGCCTGTCATGGCCGGAGATCTAGATCCATCCTCTCTGTATTTCCTGCACCCATCGGATAACCTGGTGTTGTTCTTGTATCATGACTCCTCACCGGAGAAAACTACTCAACGTGGCAACACACGATGCGAAACGCGTTGAGAGCAAAAAACAGTTCTACTTGGTAGATGGTACTTTAGCTCAGCTAGATCCTTCTTCCTCCTGAAAACAGAGCATGGATAAAGTGCAATTCCATGGACATATCATAGATTTTCAATTCGCTGGCTCGAATTCTCCATGAGAGCGTATCTTATGCTGATACAGCCAGAGAAATTTGGAAGGATCTTGGGGAACCATTTTCCCAAGGTAATGCACCTCAAGTATACCAGCTCAAGGGCTTGCATCAAGGTGAGCTTTTGGTTGATTATTATTTCACCAAAACTAAACGATTATGGGATGAACTTGGGATATTGTTTTTAACACCGGATTGTACTTGTGGAGGTGCAAAAGAATTGACAATCAAATGATAAATAAACAAACAATGTATTTTCTGCCCTTAGTTTCAATCAACAATATACAACATATTGTAAATGAATAAAGTATAGATTTGATTGATGTTATTGTGTTAT